GATATGATCCTGCGATGCCGGGGATCGACGAGGATGCTGATGCTGAAGGGATACTTCCTGGAGACTATGATAAGGAGAACAACGGTGATGATGCCGAGTGAAAGAACTGTTTATCTTTGTTTATGTTGTTCTTTTTTTTGGTTTGTTGTCTTTGTGTTGTTCTTTTTATTTATTTGGACTTGCCCGGCTTTTAACCGTGTGTAATTTGTGACTATTTGCGTAACTGCTTTAAATAAAAAGAAGTTTTCATCGGTGTATGTCTTTTGCACTTTCCTTCCTTTTCCTTTGCATAATTTTGGCGTGAAATTTCGGATTCCCGTATGGTCGATTCTTGATTCTCAGGGAATTTAATCTTAGTCGGACTGAGTAAGACTTTGTCATATGAGTCTAAATGGAGTCGTTGATCTGCCTATTTAGGCGAGGTCAACAAGTGGCTTATTGCTATAAGCAAATTTGCTCTCGATTCGAAACATGATTTTATAATATATTCGTCATTCCGGACGAAGCCATTCATAACTTGGGTCGTCCGGGTGGGATCAAACTACCGCTGGTTCGGGCAAAGTCATTTTTCTTTCGGCAATGGCCGTTGGCCTTAAGGGTGTTATTTCAAACTTTCGTCAAAATGTTAACCTGTCATTGTTCGATCGAGATCGAACTCTTCTCTTTGGCGATGGACCTTGGCCTTAAGGGTGTTATTTTGAACTTTTCGTCGAAATATTAACCCTTCATTGTTCGATCGAGGTCGAACTCTTCTCTTTGGTGATGACCTTTGGCCTTAAGGGTGTTATTTCGAACTTCCGTCGAAATATTAACCCGTCGTTGTTCGATCGAGGTCGAACTCTTCTCTTTGGTGATGACCTTTGGCCTTAAGGGTGTTATTTCGAACTTCCGTCGAAATATTAACCCGTCGTTGTTCGATCGGGGTCGATCTCTTCTCTTTGGCGATGGCCCTTGGCCTAAAGGGTGTTATTTCGAACTTTCGTCGAAATGTTAACCAGTTGTTGTTCGATCGAGGTTGAACTCTTCTCTTTGGTGATGGCCCTTGGCCTTAAGTGTGTTATTTCGAACTCGTCGACATGTTAACTCGTCATTGTTCGATCGAGGTCGAACTCTTCTCTTTGGTGATGGCCCTTGGCCTTAAGGGTGTTATTTCGAACTCGTCGAAATATTAACCAGTCGTTGTTCGAGCGAGGTCAAACTCTTCTCTTTGGCGATGGCCCTTGGCTTTAAGGGTGTTATTTCGAACTTTCGTCAAAATGTTAATCCGTCGTTGTTCGATTGAGGTCGAACTCTTCTCTTTGGCGATGTCCCTTGGACTTAAGGGTGTTATTTCGAATTTTCGTCGAATTGTTAACCAATTGTTGTTCGATTGAGGTCGAACTCTTCTCTTTGGCGATGTCCCTTGGACTTAAGGGTGTTATTTCGAATTTTCGTCGAAATGTTAACCCGTCGTTGTTCGAACGAGGTTAAAATCTTCTCTTTGGCGATGGCCCTTGGCCTTAAGGGTGTTATTTCGAATTTTCGTCGAATTGTTAACCAATTGTTGTTCGATTGAGGTTGAACTCTTCTCTTTGACGATGGCCTTTGGCCTTAAGGGTGTTATTTCGAATTTTCGTCGAATTGTTAACCAATTGTTGTTCGATTGAGGTTGAACTCTTCTCTTTGACGATGGCCTTTGGCCTTAAGGGTGTTATTTCGAACTCGTCGAAATGTTAACTCGTCATTGTTCGATCGAGGAACTATTCTCTTTGGCGATGGCCCTTGGCCTTAAGGGTGTTATTTCGAACTCGTCAAAATGTTAACCCGTCATTGTTCGATCGAGGTCGAACTCTTCTCTTTGTCGATGGCCCTTGGTCGTAAGGGTGTTATTCGAACTCGTCGAAATGTTAACCAGTCGTTGTTCGATCGAGGTCAAACTCTTCTCTTTAGCGATGGCCCTTGGCCTTAAGGGTGTTATTTCGAACATTCGTCAAAATGTTAATCCGTCGTTGTTCGATCGAGGTCGAACTATTCTCTTTGGCGATGACCCTTGGCCTTAAGGGTGTTATTTCGAACTCGTCGAAATGTTAACCCGTCATTGTTCGATCGAGGTCGAACTCTTCTCTTTGGCGATGGCCCTTGGCCTTAAGGGTATTATTTCGAACTCGTCAAAATGTTAACCCGTCATTGTTCGATCGAGGTCAAACTCTTCTCTTTGGCGATATCCCTTGTCCTTAAGGGTGTTATTTCGAACTTTTGTCGAAATGTTAATCCGTCGTTGTTCGATCGAGGTCGAACTCTTCTCTTTGGTGATGGCCTTTGGCCTTAAGGGTGTTATTTCGAACTTTCGTCGAAATATTAACCCATCGTTGTTCGATCGAGGTCGAACTCTTCTCTTTGGCGCTGGCCCTTGGCCTTAAGGGTGTTATTTCGAACATTCGTCGAAATGTTAACCCGTCGTTGTTCGATCGAGGTCGAACTATTCTCTTTGGCGATGGCCCTTGGCCTTAAGGGTGTTATTTCGAATTCGTTGAAATGTTAACCCGTCGTTGTTCGATCGAGGTCGAACTCTTCTCTTTGGCGATGGTCTTTGGCCTTAAGGGTATTTTTTTAAACTTGTCGAAATGTTAACCTGTCGTTGTTTGATCGGGGTCGAACTCTTCTCTTTGGCGATGGCCCTTGGCCTTAAGGGTGTTATTTCGAACTTTTGTTGAAATGTTAACTTGTTGTTGTTCGATCGGGGTCGAACTCTTCTCTTTGGCGATGACCCTTGGCCTTAAGGGTGTTATTTCGAACTTTTATCGAAATGTTAACCCGTCGTTAGTCCCAGTTTTTTTGAGAGTCGGGTATCCTCTGGGGGAGTCCCAGTTTGCTTGATTTTGTTTACATTAGAGAGTGTAATGTCGAATGGTATAAAACGTTGTTGTTTTGCTCTCATTTGTTTCGTGCATATATTGGAGTTTCCTTGTCTAGTCTTTTTGCTTTCCGGTCTGGGGATGTCATTGGCGGGCGGGGCGATACATTACACTTTGAACTTGGGGACGTCCCCCTTATCGATTCGGTCCTTCAGCTTCCGGGAAAGTCCTATTGGGACAACTCCCAGGTGAGGGAGAGAGAGTGCGGCTTAAGGGGCATCATTTTCTAGAGGTTGGAATGTGAGGTGGGCGATATTTCAGTTGTTTTGTATTAGTTTCCTATTCTCCAGTTGAGATGTTCCTTTGCTCGCTCGCCCGCGCGACGCCTGTGTTCCTATTTGAGCAAACAATAGAAGGTGAGCCAAAATGATATTTTCCTTACCCCGATCCGATAAGTCGGTGAATGAGGGTGGATCTATAACGTTGCTCGCTTTGTCTGGCGTTTCAATGGTTGACGGAGTAGTGATTTCTAAACTCGGTGGCCATATTCAGCCCTCTTTCCCCTTTTTTTTTGTGCTCTTGCTCCGCGTGGGTTGGGCTTGCCTTAGCTGATTCATGGACCGCCCGGTGTATGGGGGCGGATATTGGTTGTAACTTCTACTTGCATACAACATCATGATCCGAATTAGCACGTGAGGTTTACTTATCGCTCTTTTTGGTGGGTGATTATGTTTCCAGTTTTTGATCTGGAAGAAACTTTGAAATTTCACTAAGAAATCTCCACAGACAGCGCCAAATTATTTGATCAAAAGACGTCAAAACCTTTATGATTAAATCAACTAATGATAAGGATGAAGTCAATCTTAGTTAACCATAATAAGCCCAGATATGGAAGCAGATTCGGAAATTAATGAATAGAATAAAATAAGAGTGAGCAATCTTCATTCATCTTTTTATTTCTTCTTTCATAAGACCCATGAGGTCATCAATTGTACATCCTTTTTGGAAGAAAATAGAAGAGAGAATAGAGAGAGAAAAACGAAAAAGGCCCCCCTTCTTTGTGAATTCATCCCCTATATATATAGTTCTGAGACCATGGCTACCTTCTCTGGTCGGTGTGCCTTCACGCTGTGGCCTTTTGTCGTTACTTGAGTATTATCTTTGACTTACGATACACTGTAGATACTTAGATCGAAACAGGTCGTGATGGTCCTCGCTACCGAGCCCCTTAGGCGGGGTTCTAGCTGGATATATATATAATTTCTCGATGTTACCAACGAACGTTTCTGTCACATAAATATATGTCAAAGTCTTGTAATCGCCTGTTTGGCCAAGCTTATCAAGACAAAAAAAAGTGCTTTTTCCCCAAAAACACTTTTTTTTCTCCTAATTTGAAGTGTTTGGCCAAGCTTATTTGGGGAAAAAAAGTGCTTTTGGGAAGAAGCAGAAGCAGTTTCAGAGAAGCAGAAAAAAGTAGCTTCTTTCCAAAAGCAGAAGCAGAAGCAGTTTTGGCTTTTCTTCTTACCTAAAATACCCTTAACAATATAGTATATACCAAAATAACCCGTAAACCTAATACTTAGGATATTAATTTATAAATATTTCTTCTTATTTTTAGGAAACTTTCTAATATATAGTGACTTTAGGAGTGAATGCTTTTATATTTGTTGAAAGAATTTTAATATATTTAACTTATATTAAAAGAATTAAGTACTTTTTAATTTTATTTTCATATTTTACTTAAATAAAATGAGTTTTTTTTAATTATTGCATGTGATAACAAAATTTTGATATTATTTATTTACTTATAATATTAATTATTAAGTAAATCTATTCATGTCCTTATTCGTAATTTGATACTTAAAAGCACTTTCTAAAAAGTTTGGCCAAACACAAATTATTTATCAAAAGTGCTTTTCTGACTGATTAACCAAATACAAACTGATTCTCTAAAAAAATATTTTTTTCAAAAGTATTTTTTTCAAAAGCACTTCTCAAAATAAGTTGATTTCTCAAGCTTGGCCAAACAGGCTATAAGGCAAAATTGACGACCAAAGAATAGAGAGAAGAAAAAAATAAATAAAAAAATTGAAAAACGGAATACCTTTTCAATAGTGCTGTTATTATTTCCAAAATATCTGTCCCCTTTTTTCTTTCCGATTCTTTTCCCAAAAGACGTTTCTTTTTTCATCGAAGGTAAAACCAAGTCCTTTTATGTACTGTCGCCGAAATTTTCTCTCTCTTCAATAAACGGCGAAGATTCGATCAGAAGAACAGGGGACGACTGACTGCAAGGTAAGAAAGAACTATATCTTCAGATTGTAATAGTAGCATCATCAATGGCGGACTAGTCGAACGGTTTCATTGCCAATTCACCTTACAAAAACGGCGGCGTTTTCACCGGATTTCATTCTCTGTAGTCAGATTCAGTTCTCGAAATTTCCTCCATTGCATCGGAACCCTAGGTCTGTACTGATTTCAGATTGAAATTTGATGTTACACTTGTCCAGGTGTCAGATTTAAGATAGTTATAGTTGTTCAACGTCATAATTATCAGCGATGGTCCAATATCTGTCCCTTTTACTTGTTTATTGGATTCATTTAGTGTTACTTATATGTTGAAATGTTACAAAATGTTAGATTTCGATGCGATTTATTTGATTCAGCTGCATTGGACTTGGAGTTGTTGGGACTCTACTTTGTTTTTCAGATTGCTGATTTTAGATGTTGACTTGCTGTTCTGTTGTTGACTTAATTGCTTTATTAACTGAATGTACTCTCGCAGGAGACATCCACAATTGAAGAAGCAAAGTTTTTCTAAAAGCTTACTGACATTTTATGAACTTTTGATTTGGGGAAAAAGCTTTATTGATTGAGTAGTACCATGATTCGTGGGAAGTTTTTAACTGCACTTATCTTTTTTCTGATGTAGGATGAGTGTTTGATTGCCATTTCTGATTAATTTAAAAACTTAGAAAGTTCAAGCTGATATTTTGATGAACATACTAGAGTAAATAATTGACATGGTAGTTAAACACACTGCTTGCCCTTGCGAATAAAAGCCACATTTTTGCTTTGCCTCTTCACTGTTTTTCACAAAGATGACATAAAGTGGGTGAAATAACACAAGAAAGTCGCCTAATCTCTGAAGGGACTTTTGCTCATGACTTTCTATGTTAAGGGGGCCTCAACTAAATTTTGCTGGCAATGCTAGTTGGAGAATTACAATATATGAAACTTGGGTTGAGGGTCAAGTTGGTAGTTTTCTTGCATCCCTCGCTTGCAGTGCTCGGGTATCATATGTGATCCCAAATTAAAGACTCTTTAGTACTAGATAAAAAGCACCTAAATGGGAGTACTTGGGATAATGGGGGTAGAGTAGACCACAAATGCATTGATCTATTTACTATTTTAATTCATTAGAAAAATTCAATATTTTCCTAAAACAGCAATTCTTTTCATTTGCTAATGAATTTTATTATATGTATTACGTTATAAAAAACAATTTATTAAATTATATATACTTTATGTTACTCTCGGTTTAACATGACATCTCTTTGACCAATTTCTCCATCTTTTTGCATTTCAAACTATTAGTTCAAATAACTAGCGTGTCTGCTTTCAAAAATTTGCTGAAGAGTCTTAACCAGAATCTTTCAACTTTTTTTTTTGGTGCAAAAACTGTTCTTCAATAACCACCAAGAATAAAAAGTTTTTAAATTTTGCAATTTTTTTGAATACTTTCAGTTATTGCAAAAATTAATTTTTTTTTTGCCGGAAGGCTATGGTCTAGTGATAAGAGTGCAACTTGTGATGTGTGGGTTAGGCGCAAAGTCATGGGTTCAACTTGTGATGTGTGGGTTAGGTGCAAAGTCATGGGTTCAATCCCTGCCGCGCAGTGGTCTTAGTATTTAAGTGGAGAATGGTAGAGGAATTGGCCCATTAATCATCGGGTTTGAGCGTTCGCCACTGGCCTCGGGGACTTCTAGGTTATAAAGAAAAATTGAAAAACTTCTCCTTGCTGCTCTTTGGTTGAAAAACAGTTTTTCCTTTTATTTGCAAAACATGCAATTTTTGTTTAATCCAGAACAAGTTTTCCAACATTTTTGAAGCAAATGCCACCTAATATACTAGTCTATTTAAAGATAACTCCTAGTGGGTTTAATGAAAATGTGACGACGAAAAATATGTATGTTTCACATAGATGATCTTGTTTTCCTTTTTCAATAGGCTGCCCCAAATGCCTTCTGTCCATTTTATCCTTTTCTAAAACTGGAGTACAAGTCATCCACATGTCAACATGTATTCGTCGGGAGTCAAGATCATCTGTCAAGTCAGTAAAATGAATTCAAACTAGCCCTGCATATATGAGAACATGGAATGCAATTGAAATTTCCTACTTCCCAACTGAAGAAAAGGGCAATTGTTTTTCAAGAAGGTTGAAAATTTTAGTTAACTTATTTGGCAACTTTTTGGGTGCTAGATTTCACTCTCTCTTTCTCTCTCTCTTGTGTGTGTGTGTGTCTCTTCTTATTTCAGTTTTCTTGTTTTCATTATCTTCTTTCATTTGTTATGGCAGATTGCTTTATCAGTTCTGGAGTTAACTCAGGCCTCAGCTTCTAGTGGCAGATTGCTTCTAGCATTCTACTATTTTGGTACTCCACTTCATCGTGTATCTGGATTGTACTCAGCCTGAATATTAGCTTATATCTGTGAGCGGTCTCACGGAATATATTGGCTAGGTTCATCTGGCTTAGTGCTGAAGTGTTAATGAGTAGCACAGGCAGTATTGTGTTTGAAGGTGATCAAGGCAAGTCATTGCAATCACTGTTGTTGGGTTATAAGACTTGTCAATCTGAGATATAAAAGTCGACTTATTGGATCTGGTGCATTTCAGGAATTTATTTCGTTGAAGTTATTCTTAGGGAAGTTCTTCCCATGAGGTAGCTGGAGCTATAAAATATCTTGTGGTTCACAAGCAAAATGCTATATAATTGGAAGAAGCCTCACATTATTTTCTCTACAGTGCTTGAGGTTGTTTATGTTGCAATATAACTAGCAATTATGGAACAACTATCAGAGAAAAAGTTCCCTGTCAATGCGAAAGATTATAAGTTATATGAAGAAGTTGGAGACGGTGTTAGTGCAACTGTGTATCGGGCTCTGTGCATTCCTCTTAATGAGATTGTTGCAATCAAGGTTCTGGATTTGGAAAAGTGCAACAATGACCTGGTAAGTCTGCTGTTTTTGATTTTACATGTGATGCCATCTAAACATGTCTTTTAGATATATATTAGATAGCAAACACCGTGGTATTGAATTTACTCAGAACAGTGCTGTCAAAGACCTGCTCTTTGATTTTAGATATTTTCTTGTTACCTGGTTACCTTTTGTGAAGTTACTTTTTCTTAAAAAAATTGGCAATATTGTAAGAATGTTGCATGACTATACGTATTTGATCCATCTACATAAGGAAGCAAGTCTCTTGGTCCGTCCTCTATAGGTACAAACATGTATTAGTCTGTACCAGTGTTGTCAAAGGCTCATTTGAGGCGCACTTTAGCCCTGAAGCTCAAGAAAGCTCAGGATATGCGCTTCGCCTCACTTAGGTTGCGCTTCAGTGTAGGCAAGGCACTGAGGTGTGCGCCTCATTGCCTATAAGTTCTATTTTGAATAAAGCAGTACAAAACAATAACTATGATTGGCAAAAAGATATATAAATTGTTGAGGAAATCATTATGAATGAAATTGTCACTGCTTTCTTGCATGACATATATTTTTTTTTTCTTCGTTGCGCTTTTTGTAACTAAAGCCCACACTTTAATTGCGCTTTGCGCTTAAAGCTCCGATAGACTTGACCCTTTTTAAATCTTTTGCCTTTGACAACACTGGTCTGTACTATTAATAAAGCCCCTACTCCTTTAAGTAAATATCTTGGTCTCTCATCACTACCTTGGTCATGCATTAAAGTTTGTAACAAAATGTACCCAGGTTCTTATTACTAGCTTTAAGGAAGATGGGGCTCAATTGGTCCGTTTTCCTTTACTATACTTTCTGCAATTCAGCCATCATCTCTTTTTTTTTCCCTTCTCTTTTTTTTTTTCATGAATCTTCCTTAGATTAGTCCACCTTTTAGTAAATAGATTTAATCCAAATTAAATCTGAAAAATCAAAAGTTCTTACTGGTATGTCTTGTGTAGTATGTGACGCATGGTTTCTATATTTAGGCAGAATTTACCACATTGTAATCGTGTATCCCCTGTGAACATTTTATTCATATTGATGGCATCTTCGAAAGAATTTCTTTTAAGGAGCATTCTTGGGCCTAAACATATGCTCATTTCAATTGCTGAAACTTCTGGAATGTTTTTGTGGTTATAGGATGGAATCCGGAGAGAGGTGCAGACCATGATCTTGATTGATCATGCAAATGTATTGCGTGCACACTGTTCCTTCACTGCAGGTCACAGCCTTTGGGTTGTCATGCCATTCATGGCCGGAGGATCTTGCCTTCATATTATGAAATCTTCTTATCCTGATGGTTTTGAGGAGCCTGTAATTGCCACATTATTGCGCGAGGTCCTCAAAGCCCTTGTATATCTTCATTACCATGGACACATACATAGAGATGTAAAGGTATCACCGTGTTACCTGGTTCTGTGTAATAACAGTTGCATGGCATTCTTACTTCATCCAAAAAAAGAAAGAAAGAAAGAAGCAGTTGCATAGCATTCTTTACTAATTGTTTGCCATTTTTGAAGAAAAGGGGAGGTGATGCCTCCTTTTTGTACGTGTAGGATTTTCAGCCTCTTTAATATCAAAGTTCTGTATTCTGTCCTACAGCAAATGCAAAAACATGTGGTCTTGATCAAATTTCTTAAGTTTCTCTTCTCTTTGCTCTTCTTCCTCCATTCTTTTTTCCCTGACAATGACATTTTCTTCGTTCATTGTTAGTCAAATCGGCGAAGTTAATTTCATGTGGGAATAGTTTCTAGCTGAAATCATCTGAGCTACTCTCGTTTTGCTGACTCCAGCACGCTTACTTATGTCAATTTTCAGCTTCGACTCATTATTTTAGTATATGTTCTCTGCAGGCTGGGAATATTTTGATTGATTCCGATGGTGCTGTTAAATTGGCAGATTTTGGAGTTGCAGCTTGCATGTTTGATACTGGTGATAGGCAACGTTCAAGAAATACTTTTGTTGGAACTCCATGCTGGTAAGTTTCCCAGGGCTGTGGTGAGGTGTGGTTTTTATTTGGTAGTGTCATCACGTTAGGCACAGACTCTTTTACTTGTAACTGCAATTCCTTTTTTTCTTTTTTTTTGAAATCTTAATCAGGATGGCTCCTGAAGTGATGCAGCAACTGCATGGATATGATTTTAAGTAAGTATCTGATCTGCATCATGGTTCTATTGTTGGTTTTAGGTCACCTCCCGTACCTTCTAAAAGTTGTTTCGAATTAACAGAGCAGATATTTGGTCGTTTGGAATAACAGCCCTTGAACTTGCTCATGGTCATGCGCCATTCTCCAAGTACCCACCCATGAAGGTTGATGGATGTTCTTTGCTATACAAAATAGTCATGGAAGTGTTTCCATGTTTTCCTGGAAATTCGTTGTTTTGTGATCCTTTCTTCCTTCATAATTCAGGTTCTGCTGATGACCTTACAGAATGCACCCCCAGGCCTTGACTATGAACGGGACAAGAGATTCTCCAAGGTTTGTTTGTTTGACAAAACTTTTCACTCATATTAAGGTTGGGTCTGAATTTTGGTGCTTTTGCAGTCTTTTAAAGAAATGGTTGCTGCTTGCTTAGTGAAAGATCCAAAGAAGCGGCCATCTTCTGAGAAGCTTTTGAAGCACCCTTTCTTTAAACAAGCACGATCAAATGATTATTTGGCACGTTCAATCCTTGATGGCCTCCCACCTCTAGGTGATCGTTTTAGGATGCTTAAGGTCTTGTGCTCATCTTATACTTTGCTTTTCTAGCTGATGGCAGTTCCCAATTCTGCCGAAGTCATATATGATTCTGAATTTTGCAATTTCAACTGCTCTATCAGGCAAAAGAAGCAGATTATCTCTTACAGAACAAGGCAATGTATGAGGACGAGGATCAGTTATCACAGGTAAAAAATGAATGTGCCTAAACTGCAGATCTGAGGGTGCTAGAGAAATCTCACGATTCACAAACATATTGCTGTAGCATCATCTTGTGTTTTAGTGCAGGAATTAAGGCATTTTGTCACTCTGGTTTTTTAACCATTTATTTCGAGTCTTTTTGTTTATTTATACTCATAACGCTNAACCTGGAGGATCTGAAGAGCCAAGCTGCGCTGGTATGTACTTATTGTCCATTCAATAAAAACAATTTATTTAGCTAACACCATAACAATATCTTATGTCTGTTAAATTTGTTCGTCCTTTTCCTTTGCTGTTCATAGCTTCCGGATTATGACGACATTCCAGATGCTGAAGATTCAAGTACTAGTGGGAAGCTGCGGGAGGGGAATAGTGATATTGGTTCTATAGCAGAAAGGCCTAATCAGCCAAGTGTTTCTCATGAGGTATTCATGTTAACCATGTTGAAGTACTAGTTGCTATCTGTGTGTACTATTCTTTTCGACGGATATACACTTCTCTTTTTAAACTTTCTCAAATTCTTATCATACTCAAGTGCCTCCAGTCTGCTCTCTCTTTTTGAGTGAATATTTTTATAAGTTTATCAAATGTGTCCTCCATTATCAGATTTATGATTGTAGATATCTCCATTCAGGATGAGCTGAATGATGATCATGATTTGGACAGTTCACTTGCTGCATTTCCTATTAAGCCTCTTCAAGCACTCAAGTAAGAATATTGTGTTTTTCCTCATTCTGCTACTTCTGTTGGCGCTCGATATTAAATCCATCATACCAACCAAATTAGAGCTGGTTGGTTTCATCATTCAAATGTGTATGTGTGTGTATACAGATATGTATATATGCACACACATATACATACCTTATACACACACACAACACTTACCAAGACTCCATGAGCACATCACATTCCTGAATAATTCAGTCTCAGCAAGGCAAACATACAATGCATAAACAGGGTTTGCCATTTGGAATGCGGTATTCCTTGGAAGCACAACCCTGTTTATGCATTGTATGTTTGTCTTGCTGAGACTGAATTATTCAGGAATGTGATGTGCTCGTGGAGTCTTGGTAAGTGCTGTGTGTATAATTATCTGAGGTATAGAATTAGCATAAAAGTCCTGCGAATTCTAATGCACATTCCAACCGCTTTAGTGGAGCTCATGACAACCATGCATGCCTCTACTGAATAGCATACGGTCTATGACAGGTTTTCTTATCTCAGAGTTAAAAGTTTTGGTAATTTTTTTTTTCTGATAAAGAAAGGTAATAAAACTTTTGGCTGTCATTGAGTTAAACCATGTTGTCCGACCTCTATTTTGTCTGGAATCTCTTCCGTCAAGCTCTTGCTCCTGTGATAAGCATGCTTACATCAGATTGACAGATGAATGAAATTACCTGCTCACTGAGTAGAAAGTGAGCACAAGTTTTTTGAAGGACCAATTATCAAAGGAAAAAGGAAAGTCGGTTAAGCCTGAAATGCTCCAGCAAGAGTGTAATTATTACATTGCTGACTTGTTAGTTTTATGTTACTCTGTGAAAGTTAATGTGTACATCTTGTACCCGATGCAGGGGGTGTTTTGATGTGTGCGAAGATGACATAACTTCTAGTAGTCCAAGTTGGGAAGATGCTATGCAATCAGAGTCTAATCAGCAGAACTTTATGCTGTCACCAGCAAAAGTTGAGGACCAAGACAATGGAAAAGATGATGGTGAGAATCTGCGACAGAGTAGCTCCTTGCCACGTTCTGTTATTCCAGGGCATAAAAAGTTTTTTAGTGGTTCACTGCTACAGGATAATGCTCTTTCACCCAAAAAAGTTGTTACTGATGGCGAGAGGTATATTTATTTGTTTTCACCATTGAAATGCTAGACTTGGTCAATTTTCTGAAAGAAAAAGAAGTTGCAATATGTATGAAGGTAATTATAAACTTATAATAGGCTGGTAATACTACTTATATGCTGGTAGATCACGAAATTTTCTCAATTAAGAAGTAAGAGTAGTCACAATGTGCGATCCCAAGATAAACGACTCTTGTTCTTGAAGTAAATGTAAGTTACTTGAAAATAAAATGATTACTGAATAATTGCAATCGAGGAAGTAGTGGGATTCTTGTGCTTTGACTGTTCTGAATATTTTGACTGTTCTAGTTCTGTGGTGTCAACTTAATTGCTTCTAAGAAGTGCGGTGCTTCAAGTTCCAGCACATTTTTAGTTACATTTTGATGTCAGAGATGATAGTTTCTCTAGACTGCAATTGTTCCACTTATGACCTACATGGTTTGAGTTTTGATGTTAGCTGCTTGTATAAAGTATTAGTTGGATGCCGCATCATCTTCAGATTACATGGAGACCCTTATCTAGGAAAATATGAGGCATGGGTGGCTACACAATGTCCAATTATTGGCGATGGTTCAGAGTCTACATTTTTCATATTTCAAGCAGTAAATTGTTGGTTCAAGCTGCGTTATTTTGTTTCATTCTATATGTAGGGAATATCAACATCCAAAGTACCAGGCTGAACGAAACTATAGCGGTCCATTGCAGTATCGACATAAGAAAGACTTAGGTAATCCAGTCTCCGACAATGTATTCAGACGGGGATGTTAAAAAAAAAAAACACAAGTTCCTGCAGATTATTATGAGTTCTTATTTTATAAAGGAATTTGGTCTGTCACCTTTCTTCTTCATCTCTGAATATGCTTTTTGCAGGAGAAGATGCATCAGAAGGAGCTGTCGTCCAACGCAAGGGACGTTTTCAAGTCACATCAGCAGATCTGAGTCCCAAGGTATACATCTAGTAGTATCTTGTATTGATTGTCAGATCAGCTATAATATTGCATTGTGGAAGGGGATTTTGCTTCAACGGCCATATTCTGTCTCTAATACATGTGAATTAACACGAAATGGCTAATGCCAAATATACATACATTGCACCATGCTTTCTGTTGCTTGTTTCAACAAAAAATGATAAATCCTTCCAGGTTGGTGCGGGAGAAATCCGTTCTATGGTTTTGTCGGATTCTGAATTTTTCTATGAAATAATAACTCACTCTTAATTGAGAGGAGTGAAGCATTTTTGTGTAAGGCCGTAGTTCTTTGCTTCTTGTGACATATGAGCACAAAATAATTAATCATGTAATTCGTTTTTAGTACTTTCAGCTGCTGTCTCCTTTCTATTTGTCAAGTGAGTTGCATTGTGTATGGGTTTTCCTAGTTTCAGCATAAACCGCCCTATTTGGTGTTCTCATGGTAAGTGTCAAACTCAACAATCTCTCTTTAGGCGATGGCCTCGTAACCATTGCCTTCTTTCATTTGTTCAGGAACCTACAAGCTGTTTCTTTAACCCAGGTCATGGAGGTTCTACTAGTCCAAGCAATCTAGTTGCTTCACTACTTCCATCATTGCAATGCATTCTACAGCAGAATACTTTGCAAAGGGTAATTTCTACTACATTAAATTGTGTGCATCACTGTTATCTGTTTGCTAATCCATTCTGCATCTTGTTAGGAGGAAATAGTGAAACTGATCAAGTTTGCGGAGCGAGCATCTGGTAATTTTATTTAATTCAATCATCACATTTTGACTCACCACTGGGTGTGCATAACTTTTGATGTGGATTGTAGCTACTTCTCCTTTCGATGTTGGATTTTAACTGTATTTATGTGTTGCCTTTAACTATCTTGTTATTTACATCTGCTGCAGTCAATCCTACAGACTTGGCTGAAGCTGGGACCAGTGATCTTCCACAGGTAATTGGTTGTTCCTTATGTGATAAGCTACTAGAAATGGTGGCACATCGTTTTAAAAAACTACTTTTTTTTAATGATTAATAAGAGATAAGAAGAATTGACTTAGGAAATGGAGTGTGGTGGAGATACTGAGCCCTATGATGTGAGTGTGGGGTTTATGTTGAGTTTTAACTTTTTTTGCCAACTGAAGGTTAAGGGGTTAGATTTTATTAGGGGGGTAGGTGGGGAGGTTGATGTGCAGAATCCCATCCATGAGTGCAAGGTTGAAGAAACGTGGTGTATTTGATTTATGGCCTCCTGCATCCTCTAACATCAAACACTGCCACTCTGCAGATGTCTCCTCCTTCTGTTAGGGAGAGAGAATTGCAATCTATGGTCATTCAAATGCAACAAAGGTATGATATTGAGTTAAGGTCTATGACGTATTTAAACTTGGTTGCTTTGTAATGTTCAACTGAACTTTATCAATTTTCAGCATTGGAAGTCTTGTGGAGGAGTTGCAGAGACAAAAGATGAAGAATATTCAGGTGTGTAGCAGAATTGTTAGAAAATGCTTTCCTTTATTTTCTTTCAAAGATCTGAATATTTTTAGTTCGAAGTTGAAAAATTGAAAATGAAAATGCGGTGCTTCTTTTTGCTTGCATGTTATATTAAAATTTCCAAGTAACCATTGACGATATGATTGTCTGAAGTTGTCATTTCTGTCTTGCAGTTGGAAAAGAAATTGAATACAGTGGTGAAGAAAGAATAGAGAAGGTTGCACCACATGGCTGGTGAAGTTTCTCTCATGCTCGTGCTAAGGCACATCGTTAAGCTAGTTGGGCGAGTGGGTTGTTGTAATTTTTGTGTAACATATGTGTGAATTTAAAGTAGGCACCAAAATTTTGAGATGCTATTCATTGTCAGAATATCTATGATCTATTGTAATATACCAATTTGGTATTGTATTTAAGTAGTTGTCCTTCAAAATTAATTGAAAGTCAGGGAGCAAAACTAGCTACTTGTGTAAATCACCCTGCAAAACCTAGTTCCTTGTTTCAAAGTATGACCAATAAACCTGTATGGAGGAGTCTGTTCTATTCCATATGAAATTCTTTGCTTTGATGTTTTGGGTTGTTGGTTATGTCAGATCTATTCTCTTTTCTTAAATATTCTATATTGGGGTTCTCCCATGCAGAAAAGCAAACGGCCCTGTTGTTCTAAAAAGCTACTGAAATACACGAAGATATATTTTTTTTTTTATTTAGTTTAAAAAAGAATAAGTAGAAAATTATATGATTAAAGTACTACAGAGGACTTATATCCTACTATCTGATCCCTCAATTTTCCAGTTTTCATCTCGGGAGTTAAAATGACCCGGGGATTATTACGATTTTAAGCATATTAACTGATTTTTTTTCTTTCCTTTTTATATCATACGTAATACGACAAATTGAAGAATGTAGTAATTTTTTTGAGCTTAAAATTTAGATTATACACTAGTTTGCGCTCACATGTTTGCCTAGCAGAGAATGAAAAGTGGAATTTATTTTAAATTTTAACAAGCAAAAGAATTTCCTACTTTTCTGGTCGGAAGAAAATACCATAAAGATGTTTTACGCATTCGCTGTCGAATATCACGTTGCTTTTAAGGTTGAGATTCCAACTTCAGAAGATTTAGGCCACAAAAAAGAGACGCCGTTGCCGGGGATCGAACCCGGGTCACCCGCGTGACAGGCGGGAATACTCACCACTATACTACAACGACCTTGTTGTCTACGTAAGACTTTACGTATTATTTAACTAAAACCACAAACTGAACAGGCAAAACGCTACAGTGACGAGTGTATTGAAAAGTTCCAACCTTCCTTTGACATGTATCTAAATTTGTTAGAGGCCGTTTGGTAGAGTGCATTAGAGAAAATAATGCATGTATTTGCTTTGTGTTTACTAATATCTTGTTTGGTACAATTTTTCAATCTATGTATAACTAATACAAGCATTAGTTATATACTCTATTAGGTATTATCCTATGTATAGCTAATGTATAGCAAACCATGATATTAGTAATACCAAAGCTATTAATGCATGCATCAGCATGATTAAAGACAAAATTGTCCTTAAAGTTCAAAAATATAGAGGGCACTTTTTGTAAACAACTCATTTTTAAAAAAATTATGCAATGCATTTTAATTTTTAATACATCACACCAAACAATGTATAAAGAATAATTTCTGCATAACTAATCCATATATTACTAATTCCTGCATTACTAATACACCCTATTCAATATTATTCTCATACACCCTACCAAACGACTCCTTACAGAGCTGAACAAGTTCCCAAAAGGACGAGGATTTTGCACCATAACAAGATAATAGTCACTAGAATTTTAGAAAAAAAGAGATGATTCTTACGTCGAGATGTTATGTAACCAATAGATTTCAATTTGTCAACATAGTCCTTCCAGCAAAATCAAAGCCACTTAGTGCACACAAGGGAAAGAGGGCAAGTTCCTTGGGTGCCAAAACATTACGACGATTTCACAGTTCTTGGGTTAAAATAGCACGATTTAGCCAGTTTTCGGACCGGTAATTCAAAAATAGCTAGCGTTTGCCAAGTCATTGAAAAATAGCCACTATTTTGACGCAACAGAGATCGGTTCAGCATAATATACTGAAATTCGGTGCACCTGTGTATGAACTTCAAGCATATTATGCTGGACCGGTATACTTTGCTGGCTCCAGTATAATATACTGAAGACTGGAGCACCGGCGCTCCAAACTCCAGTATATTATGCTAGACCGGTATATTATATTAGAACTCCAGTATATTAGACTATAGTTCCAGTATATTATGCTGGAGTATTTTTCCGGATTTTAAACAGTGTTTTCGTTCAGATTTATCTTTACATAAAAAGTGATTAAATTTCGATTACTTTTGAAACTGTGACTATTTTTGAATGACCACTTGTAAATCTTGCTATTTTTGAATTTCTCCCGTTCTCAGGTGAACAAGAAATGCTTTTCTATAGTCTAAAGCCGAAAAGCCCCTTCTTTCAATGAGGATGCCAATATAAACACACTTGTTCCCAATTTTCTATCAACCAATGCATATCAATAATTTCTCTTAACAACTTGTAGAGTCTAGAGAAGTCTTGCTATAATAGAACAATAATACATCAATGATGAATAAGCACAAGCACTTCACAGCCTGGGATAATAATTAAGTTTCTCTCTTGTGGCTACAACAGGTCCGTAAAATATGAGGAATCCAAAATTGACAGTCAAGGTCACCAAAGGCAGTTCTCAGTCACAGCCGAAACAATGCCTTTCAAGGTGGGCTGCATAGAAAAAGAGGGCCATGAATCAAAGGGAAGAAACACTTTTATGTGCGAAAGAGAGTAATATATCTTCACGTTACCAACCAGAGAGTGGTCTCGTAGACCAAGAGACAAGACCAAAGACCTAGAAGAACCTGCGCTACTGCAAATTAAGCAAGGTTTGGAACAGTAAAGAGAAATCAATCTCTCATTCAGGGCATCATTCTTCACAAAGAGCGGAAATCAAAAACTTTATTTACCACACATACCTTATGTGTTCAATAATCTGCCGAGCACATGCAACTAGCATGGACTGCAGAGCAAAATACAGTTTATAAAGTTGATAACCATACATGAGAGGACATGAAATTGTTGCAATATATTCTAAATTACCTCATCACGTTTACCCAGTAATACAGAAACACTAAAGGTTGGATGGATCAACACCCCTTCCTCCTTCCTGCACAGCAAAACTACATACCTTACATCTGTTGTATGGAAAAACTCTTTTCAACTGAGTGACGAGATCAATAATGAAAACAACTCAAATATGCAGCTACAAGATCTCAAGAGTCATTCCCATTACAGCAATAGGAAGAACAAGTGAAACTCCAAAGCAAATATGACTTAATAGGACCCCAAAAGATACAATGATTTCAAATAGCACAGATCACAAAAGAGTATCGACAGGCTTCAATTAAAAAGTTGATTTCCTGCCCAAACCAAATATGTGTTTATCAAAAGAAATCTGAAAAATGGAAATTTCTAAGCAAGAACAGTTCCGAAAAAGATGCAGACCTGGCATGCAGAATTGTACCCATACTTCCTATTTGAGTAGCTATAACCTGAAAACAACAATAAACGTTCGGAAATGCTCTCACGTGACTACAACTTCATAACTAAATCAGGTGTTCCCCACTCACCAGAAAATGGTCATCATACGCACAGATGACTATATCTGTTTTATTTCCCTGCATACACGAGAGGTTTGTAAGATAAACACTAGAAACATTTTCCAACCACAGCTGCATTTCAACTGAATTAATTTTTTTTCTCCGCCAAAAGCAAACTTGAAGGATGTTTCTTCGTCTCCCTAAACCTAATGTGTTTCTTATTTTGCCTCCAAAGTACAGATTTCCAGAAATATCTCCATACAATCCAACTATGTTCATTTTAGAACAAAAGCATTATGCTCTACTCTTGAATAGTGAATACACAGAATATACTCCTCAGCTCTTTCTCTGACAAATTTTGGAACCAGAAGTAACAGAATCAATCAAAAGCAAGCTTCATACTAGTTTTAGTAAAATAACAAACAAACACACACAAATCCGCAAACACATCTTTGATACATGCGAACAAAAGTTGAGTGCAAGGGAAATGGAAGAGAAGAGAGAACAATATCTTTTTTACTTTGATATGGAAACGAGAGAAGCTAGTTAATCCATGACCTAAATGAAAAGGAATTATCTTTAGAAAGGATTATAGTTTAAATGACAAAATTTTCCAAATTAGCAAACACATAAGCCGATAAATAGCTGAACCCAACTTGCTGGGGATAGAGGCATAGTTATTGTTATCTTGTACACACCAATTAGGGGTGACAAAATGGTTAAAACAAAACAGTTAACCACCCATATTATCCGCTAAAAATGGGTTGAATAATGAACTATTTAAAAACGGGTCAAATATGGATAAAAACCATATTATCCATTTAGAAAATGGATAACCAATGAGTCTAACTTTTACATTTGTAAAGCCTCAAATTGGGGGTTCCTCAAGTTAAGAAGACTAAGAATTCTCCCAAAAGTGATCATATGCAAGAAGTCATGGATAATATGGTTCCATATTATCCGCCGGTTAATCTGTTTTTTATCCGTATTAAATATGGGTCAGGTCGGATAATTTATCCGTTTTGTCATAACCCGTTTTGACCCGAACCATATCCGACCCGACCCGCCCGTTTGCCACTCCTAATACCAATAAACAACAGTTAGGACATTCTTCAGCTTCACATGTAATGTACTGTCAAGTATAGCGTATGTACATAAACCCCATACCACTGAAAATATTGTCCACCAAAACTTTTAGTTTTCCCTTTCCAACTAAATGAGTTGCAAACTGACAAAGTCACAAAATTTTCCTTTCTTCTTTCTCCTTTATGTCTTCCCTTACCTATATCTCATTCTCATGTTCAAAGGAAGGATTTCTATTTGTGCTTTTCTCTTTTCCTGTTTCCTCTGGTTGTATTTTACCATTTTTTTCAAATGTGGAGGCATATATCAACCAATCAACTCTGTCATCATTCAGAACTAGTTCGTGTTGTCCATAATATGATCCTTTTTTTGAACTTTTGACTTGACATTCATTTGAATAGCTTAATCACAAAGGAAATTTTCCAAAAAAAGAAAGAAAAAGCGGTCTATTCTGAGAAAGGCAACAAAGATAATTACAAAAATTGCAAGGGATAGTACAAATATTCCAATGTAAAAGGGGTAAAATGTCGAGACATGCCTTAATATCAAGTGCAAGCTTCTTGTGCTGGACCGGTATGTCCATAGCTTCCTCTACTATTCTACCTTACAAAAGAAAAACAAATTACTTACAATTTACAATTTAAAATCGAAACACAATTCTATTGCATTTTTCTAATTCAAAAACAATGCTTGGCCGTTGCAAGAAAAAATTGAAGAAAGCAAAAAAATACCTGGAGAAATTGAGCTTTAAGCAGAAACTGGAGGTCGCAAGTAAAAAAGAGCTCTGAGCTTGGCCGTTGGCGTGTTCTCGAAGAAGAGAAGGAAGTAGTTGGGCCTTGCACCGGTTTGGGAACCGGGGCCAGGGCCTAGATTTATGGAAGCCCAATGTTACTGGCCCATCTGGGATTGGCAGGATTATTTGCACCCTATAGCCTCTTAGAGATTTTTACCTAGCTATACTATAATAAAAATATATTTACTACTTTTGTTGAGGTTTCTTGTTAATTACTTTATATACCTATATTTACTAGTTTTATACAAAATCATAAAAAAAAGGAAATGCAACGTACCTTAAATATAGCGTATCAGTTACACATAATCCCCATACATTTAAGATTCTCTTCCTTTTCCAAAGGATTACAAAAACATCTTCTCTCTTTCTTTAACAATTACCCAAATTTGTACTTACTCACCGTAAGAATTCTCCCTTACCCACTGATGCCCAAAATCTTTCTAACCCAAAAATCTCGCTTACTCACTCCTCTTCTAAAGATTTTGATATCCGATTTCTCTCTTTCAATCATCCACTGTTATCTCCCAAAAATTGCAGATTCTTTCTTCTTCCAACGCATTTGATATCCGATTTCTCTCTTTCAATCATCCAAAATCTCAATATAGAAGAAATTCAAAATCTTGCTCTACAATCAAGTTGTGGGTAAGTTGTGGATACAATATTAATACAATTATAATACTATTATATTAAATTTTTAGTGTAGAGTTATGATTGAAACTTGAGGAAAATGAAGATCATAATTGTATTACAATTTTTCAGAAATGTATCGCAATTGTATTATAATAGTACATGTATCATAATTCTTGCAGGAATTGTATTACAAATGTATGATAATTATTATTCATTATCTATTATTACGAGCAGTTGTAAATTCATGACGAATTTCACAATTTGTATCACAAATATGATAATTGTATATTAATTTATTAGTATTGTATCATGTATTATTTTGGATATTAATGTACTAGATACAAGTTAGATACAATTGTGATACAAGTATGATACAAGTATGATACATTTGTGTTTTAGGCATTGATGTATCTGATATAATTCAACTACAATTATGATACAGTTATCATACAATTTATGAATATTTTTTAATAATATAAAGCTATAGGCAATGGTGAAGAGAGAAGATGAAGATTCTGGACGTAGATTAAGGGATTTTGATTTTAAAAAAAAAGGAGAGAGAAGAGGAGAAGGGAAAAAAGAGAGGAAATGATGTAATTGAATCCCTTAATTGAAGACATTAATAATGGGATGGGAGCCTTTAAGAAGCAATATATACAAGTTGTAAGAAAAACCTAAATATTTATTAAAAACTGCAAAATATAGAGAACATAGGTAAATAAATTTCTAATATAATATAACTAGGTAAAAATCTCTAGCCTCTCTGAGGTCTAAATTCTATCTTCATTTGCCTGGTGAGTTAAATTTCGTTTTTAATTTTTTTCTTTCACAGACGAATTTATTCCATGAATTAATAGGGGATTAAAGTTGAATAGTCGCCTGAAGAAGGCCATTTGTGCAAATTCCCGAATGCGTAGATGGGAATGCCCAAGTGAGGTGGTGGTGGGGGGGGGGGTAAACTTCACAAATAATTATTTTTCATCCCCTTTAACTGAAAAATTAGTATTAGTACCTGCATGATGTGCGAATAATATTATGATTATGCTATATTCTATAAATTAAAAATAATAAATTATATGAATAACTATTGGCATAAACTTAATCTCATATATAGTCGATGATACAAACAAATAAAAATACAATATGATTCAAAAATAAATACTCCTTTCCTTTCAATTTACATAAAGTATTTTCTTGTTAGTCTATTCCAAAAGAATGACACATTTAACTTTAAATTTTTCTTTTTACTCATTTTACCCGTAATGAGAAGCTCTTACACTCATACAACTATCACTGCTCCACAAAGCTTTTAGGACCACAAGTTTCAAAAGTTTTCTTTTTAGTTTTTAAACTTCATGACAAGTCAAACAACAACAACTACCCAGTGAGATCCCACCAGTGGGGTATATGGAGGGCAATGTGTATGCAGACCTTACCCCTACTCCGGAGGAGTAGAGGCTATTTCCGATAGACCCTCGGCACAAGAAGAAGGAAAGAGACAGTGTATCAGTAACAGCTAAATTCAAACTATCTCATCAAAATTAAAACCGAGTGAAATAATGCTAAATAGAGTAATAACTAATAAAAATACATTTAGTAATATCTTAATTTAAATTATAAAAATATATTATATTATTATCTCAACATAATAATTTCTCACATCAACATGAACTTCTACCAACCTAAAATTTCAAAACGATAAATTAATATAACACACATGATGATTTATTGACAACCAATATATTCTAACTTTTGGGAGTTACCAATATATAAAACATTTGGATCGTAATTTGCTCAACAATTTTAATATCACCTCAATTTTAACCACACAATTAAAGCCACTTTTTTAAAACAATTTAAATGATACTTTTGGGATATAGTTAACATTAGTATATTATAATTAAATAAATGTTAAACTATTTTAAATATATTGTACTTCTTAAAATGAATTTTACCTTATGTTTTTTGTAATTCACTTTATTTTGTGTAAATATTAATCCCAAATAGTGCAATTATATTTCTGTATATGTTTACCCTATCTAAATCTATTTTATTCTAATTGACAAATATATACCGACCCCATCGGTTGCTCAATCAATTGGCTCATACACTTTGAGAGACATAAATATCAACAATGGGCTAAAAAGTCATAGTCCATACCTGAGCCATTAGAGAAGAATCCATCCTCCCTTCTTATCTAATATAGCATGGCAACTGCTAGCACTAATAGAAAAATAAAATATATATATAAAGTGTATGTATTGCTTCCAAACAACTGATATATAAAATAAATTATAAAATGTTGGATAATTAATTTTACCGTAAGGCAACATAATTGAGATTTAGTTCAGCCGATGTCTGAGTTGCTTCGTAGTTTAAAACATTATCCCTACAAAAATGTATGTCATCAATTCCTCTATTCTTGTGTAAAATTATGATTGATTAACTCCCTTCCAACATTATTGGAGTTGCTTTAATATTGATCGAATCGTACTGCATTTACGGGACGATTCTCTTTTTGAGAGTCATTTTAAAAGTATTCGAATCCAAACTATATACATCACACATCTTGATTCTCAAAACTAAAATGCTAATTGAGCAAGAGATATAGATTTATTTTTAAATTAATTCAAAATATCAATTTACTCACATTATCTTTATACCTCCTCTTTCTATATTATTCCCTCTACTATGAAATTTTATATAATTATTTCATTTATATGGAAGTTTGACATTAAATTTCCATTAAAATTAACTATATAAGAATTTAAATTATATTTAAATATTTTTAATTTATTTCTTGGAATTATTACAAATGTCTGTATGTTTTTAGTTTTATCTATTATAAAGGTTTTAAATACGTGTATCTTATTCATATAATATGAATTATCTCATTATTATTTTAGAAACGTTCTCTTCTCAAAGATCAAATAAATCTTATCATTCTATATATATATTTGCTACTGAGATTATTACTTATTTACGTATTTTTTTTTCTTTTTTGATTCCTTGTTCATGTTATTGCATTACCCATAACTTAGAGTTATTCATATCATTGACCACAACTCCCGTTAGTAGATGAATCTAGTTTTTCTTTTTTCTTGTAAAAAAAATTATATTCACTATTTTTTATTCTACTGCTGAAACTAATATTTAAATTTATCAATAATATTTTTGAGTATCATTTATTTATTATCTTTATTTTATATTTTAGCTGAATGGAGTATTGGTACTCGTAGTATGTGTTGATAATACCTCCATATTTATCTTTGTAATGAGTTAAGATAAGGGTGTTATTTTTATCTTTCAGCTCAATATTTTCTTATGGTCAAAAAATTATTAGTTAAGATAGAGTATTTGGTTATATCGTTATAAGACTATTATTTTTTCTTTCCTTTCAGATTCAAAATAATTTTATTTACTACTTTTCCATTTAAATTAAAAAAATTATCTTTTAATTTTAAATTAGATTAAATATTATTATGTGACGACCCGACCAGTCGTCTCATGAGTGACCGCTCCGTTTTCCCATTTCTGCTTCTTTCTGCTTTGTTATCTGTGTTTTATGGTATCGGGTTGGTCGGATTGAGTCCGGAAGGAGTCTGGTGAAGCTTGAGACACTTAGTCTCTTTTAAGAAGGTTTAAGTTGGAAAAGTCAATTGGATGTTGACTTTTGTGTTAAAGGGCTCGGATATGAGTTCCAATGGTTTGGTTAGCTTCGGGAGGTTATTTATGACTTAGGAGTGTGATCGGAATGGGTTTTGGAGGTCCAGAGTAGAATTAGGCTTGAATTGGCGAAGTTGATATTTTGGTGATTTCCGGTTGATAGGTGAGATTTTGATATTAGGGTCGGAATGGAATTCCGAGAGTTTTAGTAGCTTCGTTGTGTCATTCGGGATGTGTGTGTAAAATTTCAGGTTATTCGGACGTGTTTTGGTTGGATTTTTGATCAAAAGCGTATTTCGGAAGATTTTAGAAACTTAGGCTTGAATCCGATGTATTTTGGGTGATTTGATGTTATTTGAGGTATTTTGAGGGTTTGAACAAGTTTGAATAAGGTTTTAAGATGTGTTGGTGCCTTTGGTTGAGGTCCCGGGGGCCTTGGGTGAGTTTCGGGTGGTCAATCGGACCATTTCTAAGTTGGAAAAATTGCAGAAGTTCAGGTTCAGCTGTTGCAGGGTTTTGCCTTTCGCGATCGCGGGGGAAGTCCTGCGATCGCATAGAAGGATTTGAGGAAGTGGCCCAGTTGCTCTTCACATTGGCAGAGCTGGGTTTGCGATCATATTGTTTGGGGTGAGTGTGTATCGCGAACGCGTGTAAGGGGTCGCGATCGCGATGAAGAAAATAAGGTCTGGGCAGAATGTTTCTAAAGTCGTCTTGTTCGCGAATGTGGGTCTATTTTCACCCATAGTTGCTCATTTTGAGAGATTTTTGAAGGAGGTTGAAGAGGGATTAAGGGGGAAACGATTGGAGGTAAGAATTTCGGACCTAAAACTTGATTCTATTGTGAAATCTACCTAGAAAATCATGGAACCTAAGCTAAAAATGGAAGAACTAGGGCTTGGAATTTTGGACTTTTGAATTGGGATTTGAAGGACCATTTGGGATCGGATTTGAGAACTTTTGATATGTATGAACTCGTGGGGAGATAACGCATCTAATGATGTAAAAATTTCTGAGTTT